TGCACTCAGCTTGTTTGTTTCCACTAATGGTGTGAAAAGCGCTGCAGCAACAAAAACATTAAAATCCAGAAACACGTGTTCCAGATCCGATCAGCTGTTCATAGCTATCACATGTCTGCCATTACCTGCCAAAACAGGAAGTGATGTCATTTTCCATGGGAAACGTACTTTTTTCCCTACAGGGCCTTTCAAAGGTCTCCTGGTGTTTACTGGAGTCGTGTCTGACTTTGTGCCTTTCTGTGTCGTTTCTGGGAGACTCAGAACTCAAACTGCACTGTTGGAAATCGTTTATTTTGATGCTGTTTTTTGTGCAAATCGTGCACAATAATATTTAGTTTTGTTTTTCCTGTAAATTTCCTGTGCTTGCAAACTGTTTTGTGCAACTTTTTTGCCTTTACAGTTTTGAGGGACAAAACTTCATAGACATACATGTAAAAAAAACTAAAAGTATTTTGTAGTTTATTGCACTTTTTTGCAATTTATGTAATTACTATGGACTTAATGCATGCATGTTATAAAAGTTTGGGATTTAGCAGTTGTATTGATGTATAACAACTTGACATGCTCCCAAAGACGGCACTACAGCAGGTAAAAGCTCTGCAGACTTGGTTCTGTGGTGGGCTTTAAAGGGTTAAAACAGCTCACAGAAGATGTTCAGGCTCATATCTGCCCGAGCAGGCCGAGCCGCAGTGAAGGACTGTCGGAGGTGCAGAGTGCAGTCCAGCTACACAGCGACTGAAACGTGTCGCATTGTGATGTGGAGCGGTCTAATTCCTGCAGTAATGCGTTCCATGTGTTCAGGTCGGAGAGAAAGATCTGATGGGTCTGCTGACATTGTGATAACGTGAGCCTGACGTTAGCTGGATTAATGTTAGCCTATAACCAGCTGTTGTTGTTGGCAGCTGTCCGGACATGTGACATGTGACATGTCCGGACAGCTGACGTTAGTAACAGTGACGATATCGGGAGTAAATGAGGAGGAAGAGGATGCTCGGTGGCGTCTCCTTCATATCTTTAATACCAGAGTTTAAATACGCCTCCAGATGTCTCCAGCTTCTCCTTCCACATGTGAGTCCAGTCACTGCATTCAAACATGGCGGGGAACATGGCGGCTTCCACAAACAACAAACCTGCTGCTGGAGGTTTTATTACATTAATTCTAAGTTTAT